ATAATTAATGTGAAATTCCATTATATAACAATATATTATTATCATAAAAATAACAAAATTCTTTCTTTTTTTTGGTTATAACAAATACTATATATTTTTTTATCAAGAACTTGTGATAAAATACTATTATTATTAAAATTATTTTTGCTTATATTTGAAATTTATAATTAATATAATATAATTATCACTTTTGTTCAATAATTAACAAATTTAAATGGAAAAATAAACTGAATTATTTGTTATCAAAATGAGAAAATATTTTTAATAATTCTAATTACTAATAATTGATCTATTGCTAATAATAATCTTGATCAAGAAATTCAGTTATTTTCTAATAGAAATAAGAAATTTGATTAAATTACTTATTAACTTAATTAATTATTATTTCAAATAAATATACTGAATTTTGTTATAATTATTAAAAAAGTAATGAAAAAATAGACTTGTAAAAATTTGTTTATATACAAATAAATTATTTCTTTTATTATTTTTTTCTTTTGAGATCTCAAATCACTATTCTTTTATTAATTCTATCTTGTCTTTGTAAATTGCTTTATTTCAATAATTATTTGTAATTAATTATTGTGGCGAATTAAAATGAAATCAAATTAAAATGAAACAAAGTGAAATGTTTAAATAATCATAGATCAATATATTACTTTGATTTGATTTTATTCTAATCTGATTTCATTTTAATCTGGTTTCGTTTTAATCTGTCACAATTATTAGTAAATTGCTTAAGCATGTTGTTTCCTTAATTTATTCGATTATCCTTATATTTATTATCACGCGAAATCTGTAAAATCTGTAGTATTCGATTATTACATGAAGCTTGTATATTGAAATCACGTGAATACATATTCAAGAACCAGCTTTGAATCTCACTTATTTTACTAAGCGAGATAAACTAATTCTTTTGCTAAGTAATTCCATTACCCACAGATGTGTTTATGTTGTATCTTTCATGTGTTATTTTTATTGATCCGGTTAACAATATTCATTTAAAGATCTGTTTAGTTAGAACTACTTGACTTTGTAATAAGTACAATTTCTTAATTATTAATAACGGAACTTTATTAAACAACTATTATAACCTTATTGATTATATTAAGATAGAGAATAAACCTTTTTGTTTAATAATAAATTCTTTTAATTTGTTAATAATGGGAGAAAGTTTAGATGCCGAACATTGTTTTCTATTTCGAGATTTGAGACCCTGAGCTAAAATAATCTTCTCTATTTTAATCATAACACATCCCTTTTCTATACACATTGACCTTTTTTGATACCTTCAATAATGATAACCTCGTGTTGTGGTTTAATGATATTTAGATTTCGAACATATTATCCAAGTGCTAAAACTAATACCGCTAATCAATACATTCTTCGGAAGTCGTGAGTTCCCCCGATAAGCCAAAGGTACCTTTATTCAAATAACAAAAAATACCACTTCAAACTCTAAACCTTTGTCTTGGTGGACCGAAGAAAGAGCTAAATTATTACGAGTTTTAATTATTTTGTCTTCAAAAGCAATAAGAAAGGTTAAACTTATGAGAACTTTACCGAGTGATTAAGCAAGAAGCATTTGTTAAAAATAATTGAAGCTAAAATAAAAGAAATATTAAAAATCTACAATACTTACTCTCGAAGATCTTTGTTTTTTTTTTAAACAGTGAATTTTTTCGCAATTCGATTGATTAATTGTCGCTTTCCGGAGTACCTGAGAACCGAGCAGATCAGAATCACATGACCCGTCACTTTTTTTTGCCGTAGAGAAATCGATCATATTTATTATGCATTGCGCCATTGCGCCAATCAGCACGCGCGTATCACTCGCGTCCAGGCACATCAGAAGTTTTGTCGATCATCATTAGGCGCAGCACCTCGGATTAGACGCAACTTCTTTTAACGTTAAATTTCTAATAAAAGTGATAACGATTATACTTTTATCTTCATCCCGTTGTTTTATATATCTCGAACTTTTCCTTCTTATTCATGAGAGAAAAAATTTTCTTCTCGAGAAATATTTAGATGGTAGGTTGTGGTCCACGTTGTCAATTCGAATTAGAATCGAAGAAATTTTGTAAAATATTTTTTGGGATTCTAGATATCATTAGTAAAACTAGTAATTCCTTCTTATCTAAATGGCTTTGTTACTCGATATAATGGACCTCTTGGGTTGGAAAATTTTTTGGTTGTATCGAGACTCCTTGTTATATAAAGATAATTGTAAAACAAATAGTCTTTTTTTTTGATATTAAGTTTTCTCTACGATAAACTTTATTTATTTTCAACCTATGCTAATTACAGTATTATTTATTTCAAACAATGCTATCTACGTACGTATTCGGATTTTATAAAATAATTATGATCTACAATAAAATAATTGTGATAGTTCTAAAAAATAAATAATCTTGAACCAAATTAAAGAAGATTAAAGAAAATCGTGGTAAATGAAAGCAGGGAAATCATTATTCCACTGTAAACTATTGACGAAGCTGCACCTGGTACAGGTGTTGATGGTTTTCCACCTCCAGTATTATTATTAGTATTATTGCTAACTTTATCTGCAACAAATTTGAAGACTGTAGCGTTGGTGTCGTTTCTGTTTAACGAACTATCAAGTAAAAAATTGATATTAATAAACAATTTACGAAGACATGATCAATATAAGAAAAAAAATTTTTTTACCTCAAATTATAATTAACCTCAATTGACTTCAATAATGAATAATGATTGTAGTGGGTATTATCCGTGGTATTTTTGTATTGACTCACGGGTGAGCCAAGCAATACTGTATAAACGCGATTACCTTCGGTATACGTCCCTTTTCCGTTGTCATACGATCCTTCGTCAAACGTAATGATAATAAGGGTGTTATTCGGCAACGAGGAGTTACTTGCAAGCAAAGGAGTCAAGAAGCCTTCGAGATATTTCGCTGCGAATGTTATGTTTGTGTCGTGGGCGTCGTTGTTCATGTTGGGAGTATAAAAGACGTAGTCTGGAATTGTGCCCTTGTTTAGGTCGGATTGGTATACGGTTTCATTGGCAACGTTTGCGCATCTTGCTGGATTAGAACTAGATGGATTATAATGATAATAATGATAATAATGATTAGACTCATTTATTAGTGTAAATATTCTATTTGCAAACTTACTTTATATTTGCATATGAGATGAACGGTGTATGTTTTCTAACATATAATTTATTCGTGTTATTTTCACCGAGGAAGCAATTCCCTGGGAACTAATTTAAAAAAAATAAAAAATTTAAATACACATCGAGTAAAATCGAATCAAGAAAGAATCATTATAAACTTACGTTTTCAGCATAATTCTTCCAAGTGAGATTTTTTTCTTCCAGGGTATCTAATTTAGATTTTAGAAAATAAAAATAAATCAGTTTATTTATGTAGAAAAATTATAGTTTAAAGTGAAATAAAAAAATCATACGAACCAGCAATTGAAAGACCAGTGATGTTTGTGCTATTATTATCGACGCCAAATGTGCTGCCCGCGGTGAGGGCAAAGTAGTTGGGTTGTGACGGATGCGTAATCTAAATAGGAAATTATTATTAGGAACTTTCTTTATGATATTTTATTTGAATAATTAATTAATTAATTATACTTACAGCAGAGAAGTTTGTGTAGAAGAGTCCTTGCTGCGAAAGCTTCTTGAAGTAGGGCTCATTGTATGCCACTGGAAATACAATAACAATTAGCTATTAGTTATTATTACACAAAAAGAACAATTGGAAATACATTATTTTTTTACCTTCGAAATCCGTGTTTTCGAACACGATAATAAAGACATGATCAAATGCAATACCCTTTGACTTTTTCTCACCACCAACATTTCCATTAGAGTTTGTCGTATTGGTGGAGACAGTAGTAGTATTGCCGGTGGAGACAGTAGTATTGCCGGTGGAGACCGTAACATTAGTGGGGGTGACAGTAACATTACTGTTACCAGTATTTACACTTACTGAACCATTATTAGTAGTGACGTTGGTACCTTGCGCATTTAAGCCCGCAAGGGCCGTCAAAGAAACCAAGAGTAAACTTGAGAGAGATTTTGTCAGCATTATGATGATTAAATTTTTTATTATAATGTTTATTTTTTTAAAGCTTACGAAAAAGAAGAAATTACATTTATATATCTAATTTTTCGTTGCGGAAAATAATAATACCGAACATCACTACTATTGTTGTGTATTTTTATATTTTTAGAAATTGCCTATTATCATTTACCATTATAGAGATTCGAGGAATTCGGATATTTCGGTTTCTCGCCCATTTTTTCGCGCGCGTCTAATTACATGCATGCCATATACGTACGTAGTTTAATCTATATCGATATCGATATACACGATTTATAGTTTGGTGTTCCAACGTTACACGAATCAATTTTGTCAAAACAATGCAAGTAAAATTCGCGGATCAACCAACAGAACGACAGAGCAGCAAAACGACCGTAGCTGATTTGGCAATCAGATTTCGTGCATGTTTCTTCAAAATATCTCCCGTTACATAACATACGTGTGCCAAGCACGTATCCGTTGATACGAATTTATTGGACACATGTATAAGTCATTGAATTGAATTAATCGAGTAAATCGAATGCCTTTTACTTTTCTTTGTCGAAGAGGATTTTGAGCATTTCAACTATTATCATCATCAAGGTAATTTTGTTTCACAGTGTTTTATATTTGTATCTCTGATAAGATTAAGAATCCATTTACATGCATGACACATCTTTAAATGACATGCATACATTTGATAAATTAAATTAAATTTTGTTTGATTTGCTTTCGTGATCTTTTCTATTTAGTATATTGTGAAAGTCTCGAAAGCTTCTATTTAATCAAGCGATCGATATTATTTATTCAACACTTGGAAAAATGAAATAGATTCAGATGGCCTAAAATCTCTTTATAAGCTAATATTTATTCGTCTTTTCATAGAGAATTATCACTTTGGTTTTAATTTCGATTACTTTGAGATATTGGATGTACCGGTACCGAATGGCTTTTTGCATTGTGTCACGACAATGACGTACAAAAAAGGTAACGATAATAGTAACTATTAACCTAAAAACGGGAAATATTTCAGTCCAAAAGATGATGTCACTCTCAATAATAGAGATAATAAGTATATAGTCAAAAATCTAATAATAACATTATTTACTGTTACCACTTGTTTGTTAAATTTGGTTAGCTGAAAACAGAAGTGTTTTTATGTTGAGACATAAAATAGAAATCATTTGTAAATGAAACAAACCTTCGAAATGCCAATTATTATAAAAGATTCAAGCGATGTTTCGAAACTGTTGGTGTTCCAGACAATTGTCATTGGCCTTATTTGTGTATCTAAATAATTTTGCACAGCTATTGTATTTAACTCTGCAAGTCAATAAGTGGAAATCCCTACATTTGTACATGGAACTTTAGATCAATCATAGTGTGAAAAAATTTTTCAATGCAGGAGTTTCAAACTACGTACTTGTTGGAATAAGGGGATATTAACTTGCATGCAGATCAAAATTTTCAATTGCAGTTATATTGAACGTGCATCATTGTCCCAAGATTGCGTCGAATTGATCATAACCGAATTATGATTGGTTGGGTTAAAAAATATTATTTCTGAACATTAACATTAACGTTAACATAAAAAAGTATTCGGTGAATATCGAGTGGGCGAATAATTCTATTAGCGTTGATGATTTGATTACTCGAATCCTGATCGAACAATCTAATAATTAGATCATTCGATAAATAAATAATAAAATAAAATAAAATAAATAATGAGCAAAAAAATAATTCACTTCTCTGGCCACAATTATTTTCGACAACGATTGATATTGGCCACATTAAGCGGGAGAACTGTGAAAATCGATAAAATTCGATCAGATGATGAAAATCCTGGACTTCGGGGTATTAATTTAGTTCATTTTCTTGATGTTATAATTTACTTTTTGTTTGTAAGTTTGCTCATTTACTTTTGTTGATAGATTTCGAAGCAAGTTTTTTGAGATTATTGGAGAAAGTTACTAATGGATCTGTAATTGAGATCAGTTATACTGGTATAAACGATTCATTTATTTACCGTGAGGAAAAGAATCCTTGGATTTTGATTCTATTATTTTTTTGTTTTCTCTAAAATAAAAAAACAGGCACATCTGTTCTTTACAAACCAGGCGTGATCATTGGAGGAAAAATATCACATGATTGTGGCACAGCACGCGCGATTGGATATTATCTTGAGCAAATGATAGCAATCGCACCGTTCGCTAAATCACCGTTCAATTTGACGTTGAGTGGAATTACTAATGATAACGTGGATGTTTCGGTTGGTTTCACATTTTTTATGTGATGATTATTACTTCTGACACGGTTTGGTTGTTAATAATAATAACAATAATAATGATAATTAATAGGTAGATCTAATACGGACAGTCACATTATTGCAATTGAGAAGATTTGGTGTTGTTGATGATGGAATAGAATTGAAGGAAAGCATTAATCATATGCATTGCATGAAAGAGATCCAGTAATAAAAAAATTAATGTTATAAATATAAATAATAGATTATGAAGAGAGGAGCACCTCCCTTAGGTGGTGGTGAAATAAATTTCAAGTGTCCGACTATTCGTGCACTAAAACCAATAGGATTTGTTGATGATGGTCGGATAAAGCGGATACGTGGAATTGCGTATGTGTTTTGTCTCACTCTTTCTTCATATTTCGAAATAGCCGTTTAATTAATCTTAAAAACTCAGATGTTCAACACGCGTATCACCACAAACAGCAAACAGAATGGTAAATTCAGCTCGTGCCGTATTGAACAGATACATACCAGATATATACATTTATACAGATGTATTTAGAGGAGAAGAATCTGGAAAGTAAGTAAGTTTAATTGGTAATGTCATACATCAAAATCATACCAATTGATTATTGGGAGGTATACCCTAACCCTAACTCTGAATTTAATACAACCGATATCGATTTTTGATCAGAGTAATATTCTCTGATATAGCTACTAATCAATCAATCAATCAATCAATATATTTGAATCAGATCTCCAGGATTCGCGCTCTCGCTAGTATCAGAAACTACGACCGGCGTCTTATTCTCCGCCGAAAGAGCAGCTAACCCTGGTGAGACACCCGAGGATATAGGAAACCGAACCGCGAAACAGTTACTCTCGGAAATACGAAATGGCGGTTGTGTGGATTCGATTTCGCAGTGGCTGGTGCTGTTGTTGATGGTTTTATGTTCGGAAGATGTTTCTAAAGTGCGAGTAGGGAAGTTGAGTGCTTTTACGTGAGTGTTATTATTGCCGTTATCATTAATTAATTAATTGGATTAGTTTTGGATTTTTGGGATAAAGCAATTCTTTCTTTCTCGCTTTTATATTAGAATTCAATACGTACGAGATATCAAAGAATTCTTTGGTGTTACATTCAAGATTAAACAAGAAACTTATATACAAGAACAAGAATCATCAAATCCTTCACATAATTATAATGATACCCTACTATTAAGTTGTGTCGGTATCGGTTATGTTAACTATAATAAAAAGACCACGTAGATATTTTATTTTTGATTTTTAATTAAGCGTTTACTAGTAAATATATTTCATTTCATTTCATTCGGCTTCAAAGAAATATGATAAAAGAAAGTACCGATTTTAAATTACATTTTCTCTTCATTATAAGAATAATGCATTATCACTTGTAAACTAGACCCCGGACAAGAATGTCAATGGGACCAACATACTCGAACTAGTCACCAGTGCAGCATAAAGCTTCAAATCTCTAACAAAGGTTCCTGAGCATACTGTAAATACGAGTTTCACTTCTATGCATAGGTCGTTATTTGATTTATTTGTCTACGCTATATTTCCTGTCGTGATATGATACGACAAGTCGAAGTTCATCCAGTGAAGCTCATTAATGTATTACGATTGTTTTCTGCTATCTATTTTAGTATTACTAAATTCTGTTTTTTGGCCTTCCTGACGAAGTTTAATGCTTCCCATGATTCCAGAAACTGTCGTGGATCAAAAATTATGGGAAGAAACTTTATCATTTCAAATAGTATATTACTAGATTTGGTACACTTGGCAAGTTGACCGTGTTCCTTTTCTTAGTTTTGCTTTTCAACAAATTTTATAAAGTCAAAACAAAAAAGCAGATCATTGGGCGAGTCATAGACGGACAATCTTTGTTATTGAATAATATGATAATATGATAACTAGCTAATTATCTCCTCTCTTTAAATTATCTTCTTTATATACTGATATATGATTTTATATTAGTAAAACTCTTTTTTTTGGATTCAATCAACACCCCCCGAAGCAAGATACTACCAAAAAAAATTGAACGAAAAAATCTCAAAGTGAACCACCATAATCGGTTTTTTTTCTTTTCGCTTTTTTCAATAATTTATTTTATAAAATACCGTAAAAGGTATCCCCCGAAAATTAGACCCATTCCGAAATAAAGGTAGGAAATTTTACGAAATCAAGACTATTAGATGCTTTACTATATTCAATTTGTTCGTAGTTATAAAAAATTTCTATTTCCTATAATATAATAATTTAAAATATCCTCCCCCCCCCCCCGGTAGGAAAATTTGAGTGAAATTTAATCAAGAAAACCATTATAATTAGATGAGTGATAAATTTCACTAAATTTGACTTTCTCAATTATATATTTTTTATCTCACGAATTTATCTAACTCGATACAACAATAGGTTGGGGAATATAACTAATCATCTTTATATATAGGTATACAGTGGCGATCAAAAGTAATGCAACAAGTAATTAAAATTTCTCAAATCGCAATATTTTCACAGACTTAAAAACATCAAATCACAATTGATATATTCAACTAAGTATGAGCAGTAGTTTCGAATACAATCATCGCAGCATTTATTCGAATTTTGCTGTTGCATTACTTTTGCTCTTTTGAGCATAAATCAATAAAATACATAATAATATAAATCAAACACCCCTCTACCATCTTGTATAGCCACCTTTGGCTTGTATTACATCATTAATTCGTTCTGGCATAGAATGAATTAAACCAATACAATAATCAATATCAATTTCTTCCCATACTTGCTGTATCTTCATCCATAGATCATCTTTATCCGTAACTAACCCAGGAAGATGCCGAATACGATGGTCGACCTCATTCCATAAGTGTTCAATTGGATTGAGATCTGGTGATTGGGGCGGCCAACCAAAACTGACACACCATTATCGACGAACCACTGTTTTGTATCACCGGATTTGCTTGCATCTTCAAGCGTATGTTCTTCACGCCATTTTTTATATATACGAGACACTGTGGGCGCACTAATATTTCGTGCTCTAGCTATCTCTCGCGTAGTGTATCCTTTATTAAGTGAAATAATAATTTCCGCTCTTTGACGTCTCGTCTTTGTTTATTAAGCAGTGCATTGGACAAGAAATGATAGATCACCAAAAAATTGCTTTTTTGGTGATTTTTGATTATTCCAAAATTGGTATTAACAATAGCCAATAAAATTTTTACACATAAAACTGGTACTACATGTACATGTATTAATGTATTACCTATTAATTTTACTAGCTATTTGTGGAAATATATTATAATAAGTAATTTTAATAATTTGTTGCATTACTTTTGATCGCCACTGTATGTTGTGCCTCAAATGGAATACATGTATATCCCAAATCAAAATCTAAACCAAATATAGCCTAGCATTAACCCAACTCTGGTCATATTCCTATTCTAATTTGGGCCGATTGTGATTTGGGGACAACATATCGATATACATCGAGTAAAGTTAGTAAAATTAACGCAATTGTAAATAATGCTTATATGGTGCATAAACTCTAAATTCATCAAACGTTTGTATTTTATACTCTTTATTAAGAAGTAAATACAAAATTTAATCCGTGAATATGCTTAGAAAAGGCCTATTCTATCATATTCACGGATTAAATTTTGTATTTACTTCTTAATAAAGAGTATAAAATACAAACGGTTGATGAATTTAGAGTTTATGCACCATACTAGTTACAATTATTGATGAAGTTACGGAATTGGGGATGTTGGAATTAGCGTTAGCACTTGATTCTTGTTCGTCGTTAACATAAAATCTGCAATGAATGTGAACGATTTCTTATTGAATCATACTACTTCTATTACCAATACTGGCATTCATACGGATCTAGATTTACGAATCTATTTGCGTTATTAGTATCCGAGTTTTGTGAGAAAGATTTATGTGCAGTAAGAAAGAAGGAAAGTACTGTTATTACCTGTCTCTTCGGTGAATAATAGCGACAAAGTACATGATCTGTCATGCAAACCATAGTAACCGAGAGGGATCAACTATTTTGAAGGTAATGATGAAATTCGGTAGCAGAAATAATGGCGAGAATGAGAACGAAATCTTAGGATATTACGAAATAGAATCTCTTGGTTGTAAATAATGATGATAAAAGTCGTCAAAAAATTATAATGTAAATAATCTGTTAAACAAGCTTGGCATAAAAAAGGTTTCTGTACAAGTACTATTAAAAATTTATAGACCCAGGTCCTTTACTTATGCCTTTAATAAAAGAAGAAAGAAATTAATCGATTCTTAATCTTACTTTTTAACTATTATCTGGAAACAAATCCACATAGAATGACCAATGACACAGGACGCCAGTTTGAACTTTAATCGTCTTTTATAAGAATCATTTATTTTATTGAAACTTTTTCCGCCAACTATCCTTTAACTCTTCTTCATTTCATGCACCTTGTGGACGTCGTATCATTTTTCAATGCATAAATCGTTTGACAAACACATGTGAACGACGATGACTTCCACTCCACCACATATAAATATTCGTTTTTTTACATAAAACACTGTCACCATCACTATTCAACTCAAAGATGGCATCTAATACTCATGATTGTAGTAAATGTGATCGGTGTCAAGAGGATAAGTACAACTACTGCAAAGTGTGTTCAGTTCATAATATTCATGATTGTAAATACGAGTACTGCGATGAGTGTTCAGTTCACAATGCTCATGATTGTAGTAAATGTGTCAGGTGTTAAGAAAATGTGTACTCTTATCGATGTTTCACTATCGCAAACGAATTTATGTTGAACGGTCTAGCGGAAACAAAGATATCGACAGTCTAATAAATGAATGCAATAACATTAATAACGATAAAGTATTTGAATGAATCCCTTTTGAAAGATTTACCAATGTTGAGTATCTTGCAAAAGGAGGTTTTGGATCAATCCATAAAGCATCCTGGTTGAACGGACCATTGGATAAGGGATGGGATCATTAAGAGAATAGATTTAACGACGAGAACAAGATGTTGTGTTGAAATCATTACACGAATCAAAGCAACTTACATCCGAGTTTATAAACGAGGTACTTTAAGTGTAAGCATATCGATATCGCTTTTTTGGTTCTAAAAAAATAACATTAAATCCTCTAATTCCGTAATTTTATCCCTAATTTCCGCATGAACATCTTTCCATAACGACCTACGTGAAAATCCCTCCAAAATTAGTTCTTGTGTAAATTCTATTGTAAACCATAATTTAGTTAGGAATAGATACCGATACAGTATCGGATTACGAACATTTCATCATTCTTTTAATATAATGTATTGTTCTTGTTAATTCAAGAATTGTTAGAATTAATGAATTAACAAAGTAACATAACAGTGAAAGAACAAAGACCGAATGATTTACAATTAATGGGGTTCACTAAAGGTTCTAAAGGTCTTCTGTGATAGCTTGTAACAAACTAATTTAATATCAAAGATAAAAATAGAGACAAAGAGGGGAATTGAATAAAAAGAATAAAAGAAATTAAAATAAAAGTAGAATAACTATTAAAGAAATAATAGGACTTATTGAGAATGCCTAACAAAATAAAATAACAATTGAATTTATTGTGAATGTCAATAAAGAAAATAAAACAAAATAACTAAACATAAAATAACCAGAACTTATTAACACAGTCTAAAAATAATAAAATCAAAATAAACAAAAATACTAAAATCAATGGCTTATTTAGAATAGAGGAGCATCCACTACTTGGAGTCAAGATTTAAAGATAATCACAAAAATAATAGTGTATTCACAAGTAAGATATTACAAGTAAGAACTTTTGTTATTTTTATTAGATCAGAGCATGAGAGTTTTTAGTAATAAAAGATTCTTTTTTATATATTTTTAACAGTTTCTTTGATTTACATAATTAATAATTATTTTAAACTATATCACTATTTACAGATAACAATACTAAAGAAGAACAAAGATCAAAAAATAATGAGAATCTACACAAGATGATAGAAAATGAAATTTTAGTGACTAAAGATAAGAAAAATTATAAGATCACAGTAAAAAGAAAGATTCTAAAGAAAGTTAAATAATACAAAATAAATAAAAATAAAAATATAAGTAATAATAAATATAAAGATAAACTGAAGAATAATATATAATTGGTTTAAGATAATGAAATTTAAATTAAGAATATTTTTTTGGGAATAAAATATAAAATATATCAATAGCAAAAGATTAATTTGATAGTAAAAAAATATCAAAGAAAATAAATTTGTTGATGATTATCTTAATTATCAATTAAAAGGAAGTGATATTCATGAATTTTGTATTAAATATGATTGTGCAATGCCAAATAAATATTAAATTTGCTTGTATAATATCAAATAAATATTAAATTTGATTGTGTAATATCAAATAAGTATCAAATTACATGTAATATGAATATTATTGGATGAAATTATGATACACCATAATTTGTAATATTATAAAAATTATAGAATCGCAAAATTTTTGTCAAAATTGCAACAGTATGTGACAAGATAACAATCACTACAATTATTTGAACAATCGAGAGCATCAAATAATAATTAATGCATGTAATAATAGTGATTATCAAAAAGGAGAAGGTAATAATTTGAACAATCAAAAGATATTGAACAATTGAAGCTTGGACATTTCGAAAGAAACCATCAATGTAAATCGTTGACTTTAGAATTAGTGTAGGATTAGCGTAGTAATCCAAAAATTGTATATAGAAGCATCTTCAAGTTACTGAGAAGAGATGTTTTTTGATAATGCTTTAATCTAATAAAATAACCAAGTTCTTGCTTGTAATAATAGGATTATTCGTGAATACACTATTATTCGATTAAACTTCAGTGGATGCTCCTCCACTTAAAATAAGCCGTGGTTTTTCTTTGATTTGACTTTGTTTCTTGAACAGCCGTATCAATAAGTCCTGCCATATTTGTAAACATCTCGATTATTGTTAAAAATAAATATTTTTTATACAAAACTGATTCCTATTACAATAGTGATCCTACTCTATCTTATTCCCCCCTTCAAACACCCTCTCGTTATTTAGAAAAGGTACAAGTCGCCATAGGAAACCTTTAGAATACCAGAAGAAACCCTTTGACCGTAAATGATTCAGTCTAGCTTCCACCTCCGTTGCGGAAAATCCCTTGATCGATCGATTGTTATAAAAAACATAACAATCTGGTGCCCCCAACTCATTCGCCGTAAAATAAACCCTTTTTACTAAAAATTAAAGGGAACGCAACACTACGCAAATATATGAATTCCAACCACCAAAATTGGATTGGGATAAAAAATTAAATTATTTAATTAGTATTATTAAAGGGTTGAATAAAATTCATAATAAGCAATTCGTGCATCGTGACTTTCACCCTGTAAATATATTAATACAGCTTGAAACAGTTCAAATTGCTGAATTTGGGCTTACCAAACCAGCAGATACAGAAAAATCTGAACAAAAAATTTACGACTTACTTCTTTATATGAGTCCGGAGGTATTAAATGGAAAACCATACACTAAAGCTGCAGATATTATAATTTTGGGATGATTACGTACGAGGTTGTCACAGATGAACGAAGTCATGATATACATCTCATATTAGACATCCATAATGGAGTACGACCTACGATACCAAATAATGTTCCCGGATGGTGCAAGTTTATTGTTGAAAAATGTTGGGATCCTATTCCTGAAAACCGACCAATGTGGATATGCGACAAGTTTGAATAATTTGCATTTTCAGTACTACAGCTCTTTAGAATCTCCTAAAACTCGTGAAGAAATTATTGTGTGTCTCAAACAAGAAAAGCAGAAATGGAAAGGACTTGACGAGAAGATGGAATTGCAAAAAAGCATTCCTACGAATATGAATAAAAAACAAGAAATCCACTCAAACGCAGTTTACAACAGTCGAATGTTTACCACAAAATTAATTTCAATTCCAACTGACACAGGTAATTTCTAGTTCTAAATATAAATCATATCGATATTATCGTTTCATGTTAATCAAAATTTATATCGAGTGTCTTCCAACAAAGCCTAAATATACCACTACAAGAGAATGAGATCAACAAGATAGATAAAATCAAAGACAATGAAGAGGTAACGAAACACCTCCAACAAAATATGGAAATATCAAAAGAAAAAATACTGTGCTGTATTGGAAGAAAATAGAATTACTTTACTTTTATACTTATATTACATTAAATTATCTTATGTTTATTGCAATTACATGTATTTATTTTATTCAGCTAATCTGCGAGCAATATCTATATCTTTCGCGGTCACTAATTCAGTCAGTATAATGTTGCTCATCGGGGGTTGCCGGTGGGTAACCGGTTGAACCTTTACTACAAAAACACACATATATGAGAGGGGTCTTTGATGCAAGTTCACAAATAGATCTCGTCTTCCCATAGCCAAGTAATTGTAAAATGAACTGTCACTGGCAACTTCTTTTAAACGGTCAGTCAACCCAGTTAGGAAATTGACAGAATCTTGAAACTCGATTTTGAAAGCCGTGTCCCAGACTAAGGATAGTTAGTATCCGTTAGTTTAAAAAAGCAAAGGCAAGAACAAACGCGATTTTATTTTCCGTTAACCATTCCTTAATTTTCCCGCAGTATGAATCGGCGCATTGCCTTGTTGAAAAATTGCGTAATTTCCAGTTAACTCCTTAATTGAATTCTGGAATGGCAATAAATGAGTTTTTTAAGATTTCAAGGTAAGTATTTGCAGTTATTTTTTTTATATTCATAAAATTTAATGATCCTTTTAATTTTTCCGCGAAACACCCCCAAACCATTACAGATTTTCGTCCACTTTTAAAGGTAGGAGCCAAGCAATTAACGTTAAACTTTTCTCCAGGATGCCGCCAAACTCTTGGCTACTGTGACTGCTTTCCAACTTCAACACCGGTTTCATCAGATGAAATTATTTTCGCCCAATCATAAGCTGATTTATTTTTATGTTCTTCACCATTTAATACGAGCATGTGCATGTGTTTCCGAGATATAGGGTTTCTTTGCTAGTTAAGTCCGGAGTTGTGTAATACATTTGCGGCGGTTGATAAATTACAAGTGAGGCCTAAATTATTGACTATTTCACGTAGTGGTGCACGTATTTTTTCGTTGGTTTCACGTATAAGTAAATCCTTTTCTTGGTTGTTAAGGACTGGTGGTCTTCCTGGACGTGGTAGGTTTTCACTTTTTCCTGTTCGTTTATATTTGTTAATAAGCGACATATCGTTCATTTTTGCGATTTGAGCATTTGTGGTTTCCATGTATGCCAGACTATTTCATTTTTCAATTTCGTTAAACTGCGTATAGGTGGACATCATTTTTTAACCTAACGAAATTATAGGGTTGACGAAGAAGTGAGTGATGTTTATTGATTTTTGAAAAATGGTTACACGAGTAAATCGAGCGAAAGCTTCTTATTTAGATGCCTGTGAATTTTTATTCCAGTGATTGATTGGTTTAAAGCCAGTTGATTTTATTTCCCCTAATCGTATTAAATAATAAAGATAATATTTTATCAAACCAAGTTGGCTTAAATTTCTGCACACGCGATTACCATCACTTCACAATTTATATATTTCCTCTGTTTCAAACAACCTCTTCAGACATGCCAAATCCTATAAAATATATTTTTCACAAAGGTATCGAGTTCTTTTCTTAACTCTATCCTATTGTAAGTCTTTATAACTTCTCACAATTGTGTATTAATAACGCAAAAAAGTCAGTGTCAAATTATTGGCACACAAGTGCGGTAAAGGTAGGTAATCAAAATGTAAAAGTATGGAAACAAATCATAAAATTATTTGACTGTATTCGTGTTTATAGAAACTTCGGAACTTCCGGCTTCTTTTCAAGATCCAGAAATTGCGTCTATTATCCTCAGAACCGGGCAAAGCGAAATGCCAGTTTTGATCATCCAATGGAATGACCAAGGTTTTAATGACGTTCTCACTGTTCCCAATTGCCGTAACGGTATTCCAGGGCAAACCAAACTCGTGCTCATTGCATTATTTGTTGCAAATGGAGGAGTTAACAAGTACAATGCCAATACCGTATTCACATTTAGAGATGGTGAAGCACACAGCGCGTGCGAGGATATGATACCTCGATGGTATGAAAAATTTTACGTTTTCGGATTTCTTAGCATCAGTTAACTCTTCCTCTTATTTGCACAGGGCTCGTCACCAGCCTGGCCTGGCATCCCAGATGTCGCTTTTTCAGTTCATAGAATTAACAAGTATAATGACTGCATGGATATCAAGCCGTATTTAATCAAAACAGATAATGGCTTTGCTCCGTTCTTTAGATAACCATATGTTTTGTTAAATTGTTAACACAAAAAATTCCTATGGTTCATCATTTTTATTGAAGAAGAGCTAAATCATAAGTATTTGATATTTCATTAAAATAATTCGCATTAAATTTTTCTTACGTTAAAGTTGATATAAACAAATAAATAGGAGAGTAAACAGGAAATTGATAAAAAGTAGATGTAACATTTAGTCTTTTATTCAGTAAGTCGTTGGTATTTTGAAATTGTATGATCAAATTAAAGATTATAAGGAATACATTTTTTACTTAAAATTTTAACATATTTCGTTTCAGGACTATAGAATTTGGAAATATGCATTATTAATTTTATGAAAAAAAAGAGGAGTTCAATAATGTAAAATATTAAGTACAATTTGAAACATTCATGAAAACAAAGTTCCAGTACTTTTTAAGGGGTAATTTATGTAATTTTTTGTCTTCTTATACATGTAATAAGAACATGCATATGGGAATCTAAATACATGTATTTATTAATAGGTTAATGTTAATTTAAGTATTTCTTCGAAATAGAAAAACTATCGTTATCGTTATTATTTGAGGCAGACTTAAGAAAATTCGTAAATAGAAATTCTAATGTAAAAATGATGATTGTATAATCAAAATTTGCTACATTATGTGAATACATCATATTATATATCATATAAACAATATATTATATATTATATATTATATATTATATATTATATTATATATTATATGAAACAACATTTAGTACATCATATAAATATATCATATCCATTATTCATTTGATTCAAAAGAAGATAAATAATAATATTATAAATTTAATTTATATTTTTATTGACGACGTACGTAATTAATATTTACAGTATAAATTACAATTGAACTGGTGTCTTTTCCAACAATCTAACAAATTCACAAAATTCAACGTTAACATATACATCTGAGAATGACATCATCTTTGCCAGAAGATCCAGCTACTATAGTTGCAGAAGAAACATTTTCAAATTCTCTGAAACCATATACCATCTTTTCAAATTTGTGTAATGAAGATTTCACATCAACAGTGCCTGAAGAAGCTTTGATTTCACAACATGGATATCGAAATCAAATAGATTTAGACGATTCATCTAACAATGATGAACAATTTGAAAGATTAGCTAACGATTTATTGATTTATTTTCATAAGCTATTTGATGCAATTGAAATAGCAAAAATAGGGGCTTTTTTGAGAGCTTACATCGATAAAAACGTTCAATCACCCTCCGAATTTAAAATTTATTTACAAGATTTACAAAATAATGTTAAATATAAAACATTTATAGGTGTTCTGTATCAAAATGGAGTTATCCTTGAACAAAATCATTTAAAAGCATATGAAATTTATAATGATTGTGCACATGAAGATTCACAGGCTCAACTCTTGCTCAGCTATACATACCACGAAGGAATAGGAGTAGAAAAAAATAATGCAAAAGCTTTTGAATGGTATTGGAAATCTGCAGTGTGTGGAAATGCAAGAGGACAATGTCGTCTTGGTCGTTGTCATGAAGATGGTATTGGCGTACAAAAAGATGACAAAAAAGCTTTCGAATGGTACTTTAAATCTGCAGAGGGTGGAAACAACTTGGGACAAAATAAACTTGGTTTCTGTTATCGAAATGGTATTGGTGTGCAAAAAGACGACAAAAAAGCTTTCGAGTGGTATTTAAAATCCGCACTTGATGGAAATGCAACTGGACAAAATAAACTTGGTTTCTATTACCGAAATGGCATTGGCGTGCAAAAAGACGACAAAAAAGCTTTCGAATGGTACTTAAAATCAGCAGAGAGTGGAAATGCAACTGGACAAAATAATTTTGGTTTATGTTACCGAAATGGCATCGGCGTGCAAAAAGATGACAAAAAAGCTTTCGAATGGTATTTGAAATCAGCAACTGGTGGAAGTGCAGCGGGGCAATATAATCTTGGTTTATGTTATCGAAATGGCATTGGCGTGCAAAAAGATGATAAAAAAGCTTTTGAATGGTACTTAAAATCTGCAGAAGGTGGGAATAACCTGGGAAAAAATAATCTTGGCTTCTGTTATCAAAATAGTATTGGCGTACAAAAGGATGCCAAAAAGGCTTACGAATGGTATTTGAAATCCGCAGAGGGTGGAGATGATAATGGACAATGTAATCTAGGTGTTTGTTATCAAACTGGCGTTGGGGTGCAGAAAGATGATGAAAAAGCTTTTGAATGGTATTTGAAATCCGCAATTGGTGGAAATGCAATGGGGAAATATAATCTTGGTTTATGTTATCGAAATGGCATTGGCATTCAAAAAGATGATAAAAAAGCTTTTGAGTGGTACTTGGCATCTGCAGAAGGTGGAAATTCAACTGGACAAAATAAACTTGGTGTTTGTTATCAAAATGGAATTGGTGTGCAGAAAGATGATGAAAAAGCTTTTGAATGGTATTTGAAATCCGCAATTGGTGGAAATGCAATGGGACAATATAATCTTGGTTTATGTTATCGAAATGGCATTGGCATTCAAAAAGATGACAAAAAAGCTTTCGAATGGCACTTTAAATCTGCAGAAGGTGGAAATGCAATTGGACAAAATAAACTTGGTTTCTATTATCGAAATGGCATTGGCGTGCAAAAAGATGATAAAAAAGCTTTTGAATGGTACTTAAAATCAGCAGAGGGTGGAAATGCGACTGGACAAAATAATTTTGGTTTATGTTACCGAAATGGTATCGGCGTGCAAAATGATGATAAAAAAGCTTTCGAATGGTACTTAAAATCAGCAACTGGTGGAAGTGCAGCGGGGCAATACAATCTTGGTCTGTGTTATCGAAATGGCATTGGCGTACAAAAAAATGATGCAAAAGCTTTTGAATGGTATTTAAAATCTGCAGAAGGTGGGAATAACTTGGGAAAAAATAATCTTGGCTTTTGTTATCAAACTGGCGCTGGCATCCAAAAGGATGCCAAAAAGGCTTACGAATGGTATTTGAAATCCGCAGAGGGTGGAGATGATAATGGACAATGTAATCTAGGTGTTTGTTATCAAACTGGCGTTGGGGTGCAAGAAGATGGCAAAAAAGCATTTGAATGGTATTTGAAATCAGCAGAAAGTGGAAATGCAATGGGGCAATATAATCTTGGTTTATGTTATCGAAATGGCATCGGCGTGCAAAAAGATGACAAAAAAGCTTTCGAATGGTACTTTAAATCAGCAGAGGGTGGAAATGCAACTGGAAAATATATTCTTGGTTTATGTTATCAAAATGGCATTGGTGTACAAAAAGATGATAAAAAAGCTTTTGAGTGGTATTTAAAATCAGCAGACGGTGAAAGTGATTTGGGACAAAATAAACTTGGTTTCTTTTATCAAAATGGCATTGGCGTACAAAAAGATGATAAAAAAGCTTTCGTGTGGTATTTGATATCTGCGGAGGGTGGAAATGTTGGAGGACAATATAATTTAGCTGTCTGTTATCAATATGGCATTGGTGTGCAAAAAAATGATAAAAAAGCTTTTGAATGGTATTTGAAATCAGCAGAAGGTGGAAATGCAATTGGACAATGTAATCTTGGTTTATGTTACCGAAATGGCATCGGCGTGCAAAAAGATGACAAAAAAGCATTCGAATGGTATTTGAAATCCGCAACTGGTGGAAGTGCAGCGGGGCAATATAATCTTGGTTTATGTTATCGAAATGGCATTGGCGTGCAAAAAGATGACAAAAAATCTTTCGAGTGGTACTTAAAATCTGCAGAAGGTGGGAATAACTTGGGAAAAAATAATCTTGGTTTTTGTTATCAAATTGGTATTGGCGTCCAAAAAGATAACAAAAAGGCTTACGAATGGTATTTGAAATCTGCAGAGGGTGGAGATGATAATGGACAATGTAATCTAGGCGTTTGTTATCAAAATGGTATTGGTGTGCAAAAAGATGACAAAAAAGCTTTCGAGTGGTACTTTAAGTCTGCAGTAAGTGGAAACGCATTTGGACAATATAATCTTGGTTTATGTTATCAAAATGGCATTGGTGTGCAAAAAGATGATAAAAAAGCTTTTGAGTGGTATTTAAAATCAGCAGACGGTGAAAGTGATTTGGGACAAAATAAACTTGGTTTCTTTTATCAAAATAGCATTGGTGTACAAAAGGATGATAAAAAAGCATTCGAGTGGTACTTGAAATCAGCAGAGGGTGGAAATGTTGGAGGACAATATAACTTAGGTGTCTGTTATCAATATGGTATTGGTGTGCAAAAAGATGATAAAAAGGCTTTTGAATGGTATTTGAAATCTGCAGAGGGAGGAAACAACTTGGGAAAATATAACCTTGGTTTATATTATCAAAATGGTATTGTTGCGCAAAAAGATGATAAAAAAGCATTCGAGTGGTACTTGAAATCAGCTGAGGGTGGCAACAGCTTGGGACAAAATAAACTTGGTTTCGTTTACCAAAATGGCATTGGTGTACAAAAAAATGATAAAAAAGCTTACGAGTGGTACTTAAAATCAGCAGAGAGTGGAAATTTTGGAGGACAATATAATCTAGGTGTCTGTTATCATTATGGTATTGGTGTGAAAAAAAGCTTTCAAATGGTATTCAAAATCAGCAGAGGGTGGATTTGCTCAAGCAAAACAAAGATTGAAATCGAAAGATGACTCTGTTATTCCGGAATCATTCATACACTACAAATTTTAGTTTGTAATTCTGCACTTTGAGAATAATTTTACTGATTTTATTAGATAGCTTTTTGTGGTGTTACGGATAAAATCATATTAGCTTTAGCTTTTATGTTTTATTAGATCATTTTACACTTAGAATTTCTAATTGTATTTAATTTATAATAATCATGTTTATTCATATATATGACTAGCTGGATTTATTTGAGTAGCAAACGATTAGATTTTTTAGTATTGAAAACTATTTTTAGATTTATCTTTTAGTATTAACTATAGTTATTATTATTTACTACAAAATATTATTAAGTAAAATGTTTATTTTGATCAATTAATATAGAAGGATTGCAACAAATTTATACATGTAACAATACTGATCTCGGAAAATTCTACTGTAATATTAATTAACATTAGAGGGTTTGTTTTAGGATTAGGGTTAGCGTTAGGGCTAAGATACAGATTAATCGGTACTCCAAGCTAGATTTAAGCAACTGTTTCTCGTATTTCTTGTATTTTCCTTTTCTTGTGTCGGATTTGTTTTGCCGATCAAAAATTTCTGCATTCTTATTGAATGCTGATCAAAAAAATTGCGCATTCTTATTGGCTGTTGGTCTATGATAGACAAAACCTGATTTCTATGTGCTTTTCATAGTGGTAATGACCTAAACTTTAACATATGTTATTTTGAAAGATCTAAACTTGAATCAGAAAATGGAATCATGCCATATGTTGTCCCAGAACTCTTACGAGGAAAATTATGTAGATATAAATTCTTTGGGAATATTTCATTAGAACGACCAATAATTGTATATATTGGTCTACTAGTTGAGTCTCGTGTCGTGCTGTCACAACAAAAAGAATTCAGAGATTAAAGGAAGCTTACAGACACCCCCGATGCAATATACAGAATTTGTCCTCTTAGCAGCATGGTTGAAGTCGCAAAAGCCAACGATCTTCTCGCATGGGAAATAACGTAAAATCAATACATGTACATGCACATGTATATGGTAAAATATGCTTATCGTTATACAACATTTTTATAGTAAGAAGTAAAAATTTATTGAATATTAGAGCTGGACTCGTATGAATTGGAAACTTGTGTGCTATTTCTCAGTATTTGTTTGCTTAATACTGAATATGGATGTTTTCTATGTATCATTAAAAAACTTTTATTTCATATCTATTATTACTTTAGTAGCTCGTTCTTCATAAATAGATAACAATTCATAGAAATTGCTATTTCATCTTGATAACAAAAATTTACAAGATTTATCTTTAGTAATATTGGTTCTTTTGTTATCAGATTCATTTTGAATTTTGTTGCTAAGGGTATCGCTCTTTCAGGAGTATCTGTTTTAATCTAATAATTTCGAAATCAATTTTTAACAACGCTAATAGAAAAAGCAAAATCAGATTATGTTTTATTCTCACTTTAGTTTTTGGGTAATTTTTTCTTTTTAAAATTTTATTAAATAATGCATAAAACAAATTGCTTTTGTTTAGTAAATATTTCAAATCAATAATAAGTACCTTAGCCATGGCGAAAGAAAAGTTACAGGTTATGTGATATTTGTGTATGTCCGGAAAATTATACGATAACAGAGGTTATTGTTAAAGATTAATTTAAAGGTTAGGTTTAGGCCTGGGATCAAGATTATTGTCTTCCCGACATTTTTTATTTTTTTATTATTGTACCAAGCTAGATTTAGGCAGCATTTCTTACATTTTCTCTTTTTTCATTTCCTTGTGTCGGATTTTTTTGCCGGGCTGATAAAAATTTACGCAGTTTTATTGGTTTGTCTCACCGGCAGATCAAAAATTTGCGCATTTTATTAGTGCCACGTGACCCGTAACTTTTTTCGCCATGGCTGGGGTACTTTAGGGTACATATCAATAATTGTCTGAACTCACATAAAGTAAGGTAAAGAGATTCACATTAATATTTCGATTAGCTTTTTGTATTTTATGTGTTATAAGGCAGCTTATCGAGTTCAATAAACGATCCACATCAGAAATTAAAGCAAATCGTCAAGACTTCGTCTATGAATTAATGCCAACAAAAAAAGCGACAACAGGCGCTGCAGTCAAGTCAAAAATGAAATGTGTCTAAAGATATTATGTTGATGTAAAAGCATTGTGGAAGGATGAGCGAGTGAGTATTTACGAACGGTTGTCACAAATTCATATTTTGTTTAATATTATGGGATGAGTACGATAGAAACGGTGTAAGTGTATTAGAATTTAATATATAATTACACCGTTTCTATTGCACTCACCCTTCTAAAGCTGACAAGTTTTGTTGTTATTATATTTTTTTACACGACATTGTTACGTACTTTCAATAAATGCGACAGTTGCGGATATAAAGCTTATTTAACAAAAATAGGACACATTGTACTGCGGAAAGAAAGCCGAGTTGTTGGAAGAGCTGTATTTGGTATTGGAGGAAAATTATTCTGATTAGTAAAAAATTTTAGTAAAATAATGCTTTTTAATACTTGACATAAAGCATGTGTTTATAACGATAATCGATGGATGTTGCTAATAAGTAAAAAATTTATACATCTTAATAATTAAATACCTTTGCTAATAGTGTGAGACGAGACTACAAAATGTATCGCTAATTGGTACACTACTTCTGTTTTAAGTAAATAATAACAATAACAATAACAACTACAGTATATCGATATAGAAATCGAAAAATACTTGATTAGTGCTAGATGCTTTTTTTTAATTATTAAAGTATGAAATGTATTTTTCTACAAATTTTCAAACCATCGCTCTAGATGCGAAGTTGAAGATATTATAGATAAAATAAATAAAAACGACAAGGCGATTCCATCACATTTGGATTCCTTATGATCAATTTAGTGAGCTCCAATTTATCAAAAGTAAGTTTAGACCATATTATTAAATGTCGAGTGGAAAGACGGGCTAGTGTTGCAAAATAATCAAGATTTCAGCGAGAAATCAACTATGTCCAATTAAATTTCATCACAGAGAACAACTATCTCTATGGTAAATCGAAATGTAAACCCAAAGGGAATATCAAATTACTTATTGTTTTTGACAAGTGGAAATGAGACTATCGATATTGACAAGCTCATCTTGGGAAGGCAACGAATATCTAAAGATGCTTCAGAATGGTTCGAATAGATACTTCATAATAATTTGACAGAGAAATAATGAAAGCAATTTGGGTTCCTGATCAAGTAATTTCCATGTTCGGTAAAAAATTAATAGTAACCCAAACACTTTGGTCAGTTAAGAATCTATGTATTAATATAATTCAAAAGGTAAAGATTCTTGAAAAAATAAATGAATTTTTTATAAATTACTTGTCAAATTTTTCTTATAAATATCTAGGATTTCAAAAAAAGACAGACATTTTCACATACTCCTTCTAGAAGAAATAAAGAAACCAGAAGTGTAAGTAGGAAATGATTTTGCTTGCATAGACCATCTAATTTACTTCAATCGTGGGACCGATATTATAAAAAAAGTGTTGGATCCCCTTTTGTTAAGTTATTCGCTTCAAAAATTTGTGATTAACTCTGAAGAAATTATGAAAGCAAGTAAAAGTTGTAAAGCTAAAGTTCAGGGTTCGAAATAGCGTGGCAAGAGACAGCTAAAAAGATTTGTTGAAAGTATTCAAAAGGAGCTGATTTTATTACCGTTATCGATAAATCGGATTACGTACGATATAACGATAGTGATAGCGATAATGATAGGAAATCTCATTCTGTGTAGCGGTAGCAATAGCAACCTACATACAGTACGTGCCGATATACATGTACATGTATGTTCCCAAAAAAGATATCGATATCGATATTCGATCAACACCTCTTCGGACGATATTAAAAAAAACTACTACTAGATACAGAAGCCAGCGACATTTATGTGTAGCAAATTATTTTAAGAATTAGAACATCATCCTCTTTCAAAGCAACAAATATGGATGAACAAATTGATATTGAATTGGATGATTTATTGACTCTCTTCGATTATATCTTCAAAAATAATAAAAATGAATATTTGAAATATCTTGTTGGAATTATTTTAGAAACGACTCAAACACGTTCTGATAAAATAAAATTTTTGCAAAGTTTACAAGATAATATATTGTATGTAAAAATTTTAGGCCTCATTTACCACTTTGGTATTAATGTTGACAAAGATTACGATCAAGCTTTACAATATTATCAACAATCAGCAATTCAAGAAGATGCTATAGCACAATATTTAATTGGAGAATTATACAATACAAAAGATTGGATAAAAAAAGATAAACAAAAAGCATTTGAGTGGTATTTGAAATCGGCAGAGTCTGGAGATCCTGAAGCACAATATACTCTTGCTATCTGTTACGAAACAGGAGAAGGAACAATCAAAGATGAACAGAAAGCATTTGAGTGGTATTTGAAATCTGCAGAGTCTGGATTTCCTAAAGCACAATATAATCTTGCTATCTGTTACGAAACCGGAGAAGGAACAATTAAAGATGAACAAAAAGCATTTGAGTGGTATTTGAAATCTGCAGAGTCTGGAGTTCCTGAAGCACAATATAATATTGCTATCTGTTACAAAAAAGGAGAAGGAACAATCAAAGATGAACAAAAAGCATTTGAGTGGTATTTGAAATCGGCACAGTCTGGATTTCCTAAAGCACAATATACTCTTGCTGTCTGTTACAAAAAAGGAGAAGGGACAATCAAAGATGAACAAAAAGCATTTGAGTGGTATTTGAAATCTGCAGAGTCTGGATTTCCTGAAGCACAATATAATCTTGCTATCTGTTACAAAAAAGGAGAAGGAACAATCAAAGATGAACAAAAAGCATTTTTGTGGTGTTTGATATCGGCAGAGACTGGATATCCTAAAGCACAATATACTATTGCCATCTGCTATAAAAACGGAGAAGGAACAATGAAGGATGAACAAAAAGCATTTGAGTGGTATTTGAAATCAGCATTTAACGGATATCCTGAAGCACAATATAACCTTGCCATCTGCTATAAAAATGGAGAAGGAACAATGAAGAATGAACAAAAAGCATTTGTGTGGTATTTGAAATCGGCAGAGAACGGATACCCCGAAGCACAATATAACCTTGCCATCTGTTATGAAAATGGAGAAGGAACAATCAAGGATGAACAAAAATCATTTGAGTGGTATTTGAAATCGGCAGAGAACGGATATCCTAAAGCACAATATAATCTTGCCATCTGCTATGAAAATGGAGAAGGAACATTCAAAGATGAAGAAAAAGCATTTGAGTGGTATATGAAATCGGCAGAGAACGGATATCTTGAAGCACAATACAATCTTGCCATATGTTATGAGAATGGCGAAGGAACAATTAAAGATGTACAAAAAGCATTTGAGTGGTATTTGAAATCGGCAGAGTCTGGATATCCTAAAGCACAATATAACCTTGCCATCTGTTATGAAAATGGAGAAGGAACAATCAAGGATGAACAAAAAGCATTTGAGTGGTATTTGAAATCGGCAGAGAACGGATATCCTAAAGCACAATATAACCTTGCCATATGTTATGAAAATGGAGAAGGAACAATCAAAGATGAAGAAAAAGCATTTGAGTGGTATTTGAAATCGGCAGAGTCTGGATGTCCTAAGGCACAATATAATCTTGCTATCTGCTATAAAAACGGAGAAGGAACAATTAAGGATGAACAAAAAGCATTTGAGTGGTATTTGAAATCGGCAGAGACTGGATATCCTGAAGCACAATATAACCTTGCCATCTGCTATGAAAATGGAGAAGGAACAATCAAAGATGAACAAAAAGCATTTGCATGGTATTTAAAAGCAGCAGAGTCTGGAGTTCCTCGAGCACAATATAAACTTGCCATTTGCTATGAGAATGGCGAAGGAACAATCACAGATGAAAAAAAAGCCTTTGAGTGGTATTTAAAAGCAGCAGATTCTGGAATTTCTCAAGCACAATATTATCTCGCGAATTATTATAAAACTGGAGAAGAAGCAATCAAAGATGAGCAAAAAGCATTCGAGTGGTATTTAAAAGCAGCAGAGTCTGGAATTCCTCAAGCAAAATACAATCTTGCCAACTACTATAAAAATGGAAAAGGAATAATCAAAGATGAACAAAAAGCATTTGAGTGGTTTTTAAAAGCGGCAGAGTCAGGAATTCCTCAAGCACAATGTAATCTTGCTGTTTGCTTTGGAAATGGAGAAGGAACAATGAAAGATGAACAAAAAGCATTTGAGTGGTATTTAAAAGCAGCAGAGTCCGGAATTCCTCAAGCACAATATAATATTGCCATCTGCTATAAAAATGGAGAAGGAACAATCAAAGATGAACAAAAAGCATTTAAGTGGTATTTAAAAGCAGCAGAGTCTGGAATTCCACAAGCACAATATAGTCTTGCTATCTGTTATAAAAATGGTGAAGGAATAGTCGAAGATAAACAAAAAGCATTTGAGTGGTATTTAAAAGCAGCAGAGTCTAGAATTCCTCAAGCAGAATATTATCTCGCTAACTATTATAAAAACGAAGAAACAATAAAAGATGAACAAAAAGCATTTAAGTGGTGTTTGAAAGCAGCAGAGTCTGGGATTCTTCAAGCACGATACAATCTCGCCAACTATTATAGAAATGGAGAAGGAACAATCAAAAATGAACAAAAAGCGTTCGAGTGGTATTCAAAAGCAATAGAATCTAGATTCCCTAAAGCACAACATAATCTTGCCGCCTATTGTAAAAACAGAGGAGCAATCAAATATAAAGAAGTATTTGAGTGGTATTTAAGAGCAGCAAGATTGGGAATTCCACAAGCACAATATAAACTTGCTGTTTGCTATGAGAATGGCGAAGGAACAATAAGAGATATAAAAAAAGCATTTGAGTGGTATTTAAAAGCAGCAGAATCTGGAAATTCTCAAGCACAATACAGTCTTGTCGTCTGCTATAAAAATGGAGAAGGAACGATTAAAGATGAACAAAAAGCATTTGAGTGGTGTTCGAAAGCAGCAGAGTCGGGAATATCTCAAGCACAACATAATCTTGCCGTTTATTATGAGAATGGAGAAGGAACGATCAAAGATGAACAAAAAGCATTTGAGTGGTATTTAAAAGCAGCAGAGTCTGGAATTCCACAAGCACAATACAATCTTGCCATATGTTATGAGAATGGCGAAGGAACAATTAAAGATGTACAAAAAGCATTTGAGTGGTATTTAAAAGCAGCCGAATCTGGAATGCCTCAAGCACAGTACAATCTTGCTGTCTGTTATAAAAATGGAAAAGGAATCATCAAAGATGAACAAAAAGCATTTGCATGGTGTTTGAAAGCAGCAGAGTCTGGAATTTCTGAAGCACAATATAATCTTGCTAACTCTTATATAAATGGCGAAGGAACAATAAAAAAAAAAGAAAAAGCATTTAAGTGGTGCTTGAAAGTAACAGAGTCTGAAATTCCTCAAGCGCGACATAAACTTACTGTATATTACAAAAATAGAGAAGAAAGAATCAAAGATGAACAAAAAGCATTTGAGTGGTTTTTGAAAGCAGCAGAGTCTGAAATCCCTCAAGCACAATTTAATCTTGCTATCTGTTTTGAGAATGGCGAAGGAACAATCAAAGATGAACAAAAAGCATTTCAGTGGTATTTAAAAGCAGCAGAGTCTGGCATTCCACAAGCACAATATAATCTTGCCATATGTTATGAGAATGGCGAAGGAACATTTAGAGATGTACAAAAAGCATTTGAGTGGTATTTAAAAGCAGCAGAGTCTGGATATCCTAAAGCACAATATTTACTTGCTGTTTGCTATGAAAATGGTGAAGGAACGATTAAAGATGAACAAAAAGCATTTGAATGGTATTTAAAAGCAGCAGAGTCGGGAATTCCTCAAGCACAACATAAGCTTGCTGACCATTATAAAAATAGAGAAGGAACAATTAGATATAAACAAAAAGCATTTGAGTGGTATTTGAAAGTAGCAGAGTCTGGATTTCCTCGAGCACAATTTAATCTTGCAGTATATTATCAAAATGGAGAAGGAACGAGCAAAGATAAGCAAAAAGCATTTGAGTGGTATCTAAAAGCAGCGGAGTCCGGATTTCCTCAAGCACAAAACAATCTTGCTATTTGTTATAAAAATGGAGAAGGAACAATCAAAGATGAACAAAAAGCATTTTTGTGGTGTTTGAAAGCAGCAAACTCTGGAGACACTTTTGCTCAAATTAATGTTGCCAGATTTTACGAAATTGGAACAGGCATAAAAAAAGATGAAGATAAAGCATTAGAGTTTTATTTAAAATCTGCTAATTCTGATAATATAATCAGTCAATTTTTTTTAAGATTTAGTTACGTAAGAGACACAATTGCATGTAAATTAGAAGAAACTTTATTTAAATATCTTTTAAAATCATCAGTAAATAATTCTCATTTTTATTTTCGACTTGGCTTATGTTATGAATATGGAGAAGGAACAGAAAAAAACGATAATACAGCATTTGAAATGTATGTAAGAGCAGCAGAGTTTGGACATAACAAAGCTCAATTTAATCTTGGAAAATTCTATCAGTATGGAATAGGTGTTTCGAAAAATCTTGACTTAGCGTTGAAGTGGTATCAAAAAGCTACAGAAAATGGACACGATCGAGCTCCTGAAATGGTTGAATCTTTCAATTTTGAAAAAATTTATTCTCAATTATTTTAAATTTAGTTTTAGAGAATCTTATTATTATAGTGCTCTATAGAAGCAATTCATCTTTCTATTTCCGAGTGAAGCTCATTACCTATCATGTGATAACACATCATGAATTTGATTGTTCATGAACACATGATGTGCACTTATAGAGGGACATATGAGATGCACTTACAGAACAAAAAGAACGTGTACTTATCCATAAGTCCTATCATGGAACTGAGATGTGATTGCATTTTGGGGAGGTTATATTTAGGGAGAGTTGACTGTGTAAATGCAGTTTCATAATCTTTGAAAGAAAAATTCAAGAAGTATATCGTTGGTTACATACAATATCGATAGTTGATAAAAGGAGCATGTAATAAGTTCACGATAATGATTTTTGCTTATAATGATCATAATATTTGAGTTCTCCAAATCATTAGATTGATTTATCTAGGTATAATGATATTTAAAAAGCTTTTCTATATACGTAAATTGTTATATGGATAACATTGATATTTCCCAAATCAATTATAATGTACCTTCAATATATAATACGTGTACTGTATAATAAGCCTTGTACAATATTTCCCAAAACAGATTAACGTGTTTTAAAATTTAAAAGGTGTCAATATTAGAATTTGTGCCTTTTTTCTACTTTTCATAATACAATTTTTTTTTATTTTAACCTGAATAATCCTAATTATTAAATGGAAGTTTATTAATAAATCGTTTTAGAGTTCAGTTATTCGCTAATTCAATATTAATAAATTATGATTACTTGAGTAATCGATTCTCAAATATGGTGATAATTATGAAATTTGTTAATGGTAGACAGATAACACAAAGTTTAATGGTTATGTTTGGCTCGTATCGGTATTGCATAAGTTCGAAAGCTTAATGATTATGTCCGATTAATCGATTCATAATTATGAAAATTACTTATATGCATGAATAGCCAGGCCATGTATATGTACATGTACATGTACGTATATCGGATATGTTGTAATCGCGTGCACCATACATTACTATACATATACAACATGATGAATTTACCTGCATCCAATCAGAACTTTTGTGAATACAACTACGTAAACTATACGTATGCAGTACATTAGCAGGCAGGCAAATGAAAAATAAAAATGAGTTTAGTGAGGTAATAACAAAGAATTTTTACTGAATTTGAATAAATTTACAAATACAGTTCGTTATATCAAATTTACTATATTTTATATAGCGAACTCGAAAATTTTCAGTTCATTATACCCCTGTATTCGTTATGAAAAGATTCGCTATATTCAATGTTAACTGTACTATGCTAAAAAGGTTGAACAACAGTTTTTCTTTTTAATTGTTTGCTAATGCTAATACATAGTGTAATAACAAAAATGTGATGCACCAGTATGACCCAAGCTCAAAAAGCTCGTGTAGAAAGTCGTTATTGTTATCGTGCATTTAACAAAAGCTTGCAATACGTAAACAAACTTTGCTATTGTGCATGACATTTAAAGACTGAAATAAAATTAATGATTTTTGAAAGCTTATAACACATTATATCAAGGCGATAAAAAAAAGACGGCCATCATTTTGTAGCTAAACCAATTTACAGCAAGTTATCGACCTTGTTTTTTTAAAAAAAATTATTATTTTTAAATTTATAATGATTTAAAACACCCTATATTATTGCAAAATGGAATATTAACGTGACTTGCGATTGACCAATCAAAATTGCATCTCCTTGTATCGAGTTTTTATTGGTCGTTCTTAATACACGTGATCACGTTATTTTAGATTCTGTTGATTGCTGCATTCTCTCTCTCTTTCTTTAATTCTCTCTCTCTTTCTCTTATTTTTTCTTTTCTTTATGTTTTCTTTTCTTTTTGTTTTCTTCTTCTCTTTCTCTTCTATGATAAAGAGAAAAAATCTATTAAGCTTCTTTATGAATACAATAATAGGAGAAGAGAATTAGCCAAGAGATGGTGAAAAGAGATTGAATCAAAAATTTTGGATGAATATAGAAAAAAATGAGAGTGAAGAAATAAATGAGAAGGAAAAAAATAAATCTAACTATCAAAAAGAGAATAACTTTGATATTCAAAACAAAAAAAAAGAAAAAGAAAAGAGTTAACAAGGAAGAAAAAAATTATATACATACTTATTTATCATAACTCTTATATGGAAAAAGACAGAAAATACAAAAATATCATATTAGCATAAATTTGATATTTTTGATATTCTTGTCAATATTGCAAAGAGAACTTATAAAATTACTAGTTTTTTTGAAGCTATAAATAAGTTTATCAATATCTTAAAAATATTGCAAGGAGAACTTATAAAATTACTAGTTTTTTTGGAGCTATAGATAAGTAAATCAATATTTTAAAAAATGAATTTGTCAATGTGTCTTCAACATCTTTAATATCTTCTATATATTTAATATCTTTGGTATCTTTGATATTTTTCATATATTCAACATTAGCATAATTGGTATCTTTAATATTTTTTATATGTTCATCTTTGGTATCTTTGATATTTTTCATATATTTAACATTAGCATAATTGGTATCTTTAATATTTCTTATATGTTTAACTTTAATATTTTTTAATCTCTTATGTATTTTATATTCTTTTTAGCTTTTTTAACATTTTTTGCATATTAATATTTTTATTAGTATCTTAAATTCTTTTATATTTTACTTTTTTATTATTTTACTTTTTTGTTATTTTACTTTTTACTTTTATATATTATTTTATTTTTTAGTTATTTTACTTTACTTTTATATAATTAGTTATTTTACTTTTATTTATTTAGTTCACTTTTTGTATTTTTAAAAAATATAAATAGAAATGCTATTTGAGCCTTAACTTAATATATTATAACTGAAAATAAAAATCTCTTTTAACAAAAATCATTTTTCAAATATCTTTTATCTTTTATATTTTCTTTATATACTTAAAATCTTGTATATAAATAATCTTATATCATATTATATCTAACAAATTGCTAATAGCTTTATATTATATTATATTGAACAAATTACTATTATTGACTTTAGATTTTATATCATATTGTACTGAACAAATTATTATTATTGAATTATTGAGTTTTATATCATATTATGCTGAATAAATTACTATATTAGAATTATGAAAATTGAATTTTAAGTATTTAATTATTATTATTTGAATTTTTAAATATTTCTTACTTGTAAGAAAAACAAAGTGAAAGAAACTTTGTTATTATTATTACTAATTATATTATTTTAGCTTTAAAAAGTTTTATGCAAGTACAAAAAATTAGTCTTTCAAATTCTCTTTGTTATTTTTTTCTTTTTGATCTTTATTCTTTCATAACTTTTTTATATTATTATCCTTTTTAAATAAATACAATTTTTGTAAAAATTAATATAATTCTTAAATATCTCTTTTTTTCTTTTAATATTTTTATCAGTCTATTACTCTTTTCAACTCAGATTCAAATTTGTAAACTAATTTAATGATTACTAAACAAACTTGTAATAATAATAAATTTGTTATATAAAAATTTAATAGTTTGAGAATAATAAATTATATATAATTATTTATTATAGTATTACAAGTTTGTTCACTAATTATGAAATTAGCTTACAAATAAAAATCTGAATTGGAAAAGAGTATAAACTAATAAAAAAGATATTGTTATAATTATGTTATAAAAATTGTTAATTTCATAATTTGTAAAATTTTACAAAATTATAAAAAGAACTTAGAACATTTCACAATTTCATCATATATTATTAATTGTTATATTCGTATACTTTTATTTTTCTACCTTGTATTCTTATACTTTTTATACTTTATACTTTTATATATTTATACTTTTTATACTTTTTCTATTTTGTACTTTTATATTTTTTATACTTTTTTTATTTTGTACTCTTATATTTTTTATACTTCTATATATTTATGCTTTTATACTTTTATAGTTATTTATTCTGAATAGATAAAATTTAACCAATAAAAATTCTTTGAGATTTATACTTTTTCTTCTTTATTTCTCTACTTTTCATATTTAGTAAATTAGAATTTTATTTTTAGTTAGTATAATTATCTTTTATATTTGTTTCTTGTTTTTAATATTATATTTATATTTCAAAAAAAATGTATAAATATGAGTTGTAGTTGAGCTCTAACTCAATATGTCAAAACTTGAGAATCAATAACATAATAAAACAAATATCTTTTAATACTTAAACAATTTGTTTTTCCCTCTCAAAAGTACACTTTAAATTTTGTAAACAAGTAACTTTAAGACTATATTGAGCTAATCAAAATGTTAATATTAAATTTTTGAATTGATATTTTGTTATAGACTAGTCTTTTAATATTTTTGTTATAATTGAATTATTTGAAATTTCTTAACTAAAAATATTATAATCTCTTTCTTGTAAAAAGAATAAAGTAAAAGAGTTTTTATTATTTTTGATAAGTTAATTAATTTATTTGTTATTTTAATTAAATAATTTGTAAATTAATTAGTTAGTAAAGTTAATTAAAATACTATATATAATTGAAATCTTATTATTTTATTTTTTTTCCTTTTAAATTATAAGAATTTCAATAAAAATTAGTATAAGATTTAGATATTATTTTTGTATTTTCTTATATTTGTCTAATTACCTTTTCCAATACTTGTTTATATTTATTAGCTAATTAATCAATTAGTAATAATAACATTTTATAATAATAATATTTTAAAAAATTCTAAATTTAGTTTAACTTTAAAAAGAATTTAATAGATTCATTGAATTTTTTTTCAAATTCTTTAAATATAATTTCATAAATCTTATCTAATTCAAATAATAGTACTTATGAACCTTCATAGATACTTTTCTCTAATAAAGTGTCTGATATTTCTTTGAGATTAAATTATCATTATCTAAAAGTTCAAAATTTTCTAGATTATAATTTATATAAAAGCTATTAGTATTTAAATTAAAAAAAAATTATGAGATAAATTGAATATAATATTTTAATTTATATTATCAAATTCTATTTTCTAATTTTATTTCTTTTAATAAAGTATCAGTTGCTTTATATTTATTTTTTAAATATATGACACAACTATTTGCATGTAGCAAACTCATGTTGTGGATTATTTTCTTTAAATTAATAAAATTTAGTTATATTTTTTAAAGTTTTGTAATCATTACAAAACTTATTGTTGCTTATTTAATATAATATATAAATAAAAGATAATATTAAAGTAAGTGATTTTTAATAGTGAGATTATAAAGATATTTTTATTTAATGAATATTCTTTTATTGAATTTAGATACTTTTTTTTAGTTTCTTTGTAATATATTTAATGAAATTGATTTGAATAAAGTTGAGTATTATTAGATTTATATACTTTTTGATTCCTTAATTATTTGCAAGGAAAATGGCTGACATATTGTTAACTTGATATATTTAATTTTTTAATATATATGGTCATTCAATTTATCATTTACAAGATTTTTTGGTTTGCAAAAACAGCTGACATATTGTTTGTTAACTTGATATATTTAATGTTTTGATTAATACATACAACTGCTCAATTCATCATTTACAAGAAGGTTTTTTGGTTTGCAAAAATAGCTGATATATTATTTGTTAACTTGATATATTTAATTTTTTGATTAATATATATAGCTGCTCAATTCATTATTTACAAAAAGGTTTTTGTTTGCAAAAACAGCTGACATTTTGTTTGTTAACTTGATATATTTAATTTTTTTGATCGCTTGGAAATCCAGAATTTGATTGGTCGGGATGCTTTCCCGACCAATCAAATTGCTGAACTTACGTTCAAGCGACAACACTGAGTACAGTTGCTCAATTCATCAAGCCACAATTCATTATCAGCCGTTTGATACCGATTTGTGGCTAAAATTGTGTTAATCCGAATATAGAAATAATAATTGACTAAAATCACGTGAATATTTTTTCTCCATGGCTAAGGTACTTTTAATCAATATCAATGTAGCAAACCTATTTACATAGTTTGATAGTTACTAATCCATCATGCGCTTACTTCATTGGAAAATTTAACTAACTCAGAGTATTCTTTAAAGTGCTGGCTTCGATGAAACAATAATACGCATTTGGATCGCTGTTGAAATTTGCTAACAATAAAGCTGAAAAGCTCGTATGTATGATTCTAGCAGACGAACTGATATTATAGGAAATTTACATATTCAGCAATCTGATAAATCAATAAATCGAATTAAATAAAGAATTTTTTAAGTTTTATCTTCTATATGAGAAACAAAAGTTTATAGCAATATTTGTGAAATCTGGATCAATTTTAAATGTAAATGATGTATCATCAGCTTGAATATCGTCTAATCCAGTCAAAAAATGAATAGCTTTTGGTGGTGGTGCTATCAACAGTTTGCTTTTAAATAACTTTTATATAGTAGTCATTGTGCTCCCTTTACAGCTGGAGTGAGCTCAGTATGTTGTAACAAAAATTCCGCCAAGGTATTAATAGCTTGAAATAAAGCATTAAATCAAGAGATGTTTCATCATTATTGGCAGATCTTGTGTTCGAATAAATTAACTTATCAACAAGTCATCAGATGTCAAATCAATATGACCTTTGTTGAATGACCAATAAATAAACTTAATAGTATCAAAATTATAAACATGTTTTTTGAGATTTGCAGATTTAAGCCAATCTTTATTAGAATCACATTATCATCCTTACGTAGATTAAAAAGTGACTCAACATGGAAAGTAATGGAGTAAATAATACCTAGTAATTCTATTATAAATAAAATTTTGATACAAAGGCATTTATTGAATATTAATATCATTAACGGACTATTGAATATTAATCTAACTTCTTTTCTGAAATCTCCCTTGACCATTATATTGAATGATATCTGTAGATTAAGTCTCTACACTCACCCAACCTATTGTTATATGTAAAATTATCGATTACACTAATTACAACATGCATTGGATATAATTTGAAAATTTTCAATTTCTTGAATAGTTTATTTAGATTGCTTTTGCAATAAAATAAAATGATTAGTTTTTTAAAGTAATAATAATTTGAAAATATCTATATATAATCCTTTAATCCTAACAGAAGCTTTAAAAATCTTTTTTTGTTTTGGGATCATACATACAATCAACTCCCGATATAGTGAACTCTCGATATAGTAAAGGATTAATTAAACTCTCGATATAGTAAAATTGAGCTCAAAAACAGTATATATTAAATCCTTTCGATATAGTGAATTTATTATTAAACACTTGATATAGTGAATTTCTGAAAATTTTTTACTAATAGCCCGAACACCTTCACTACAGTGCTCGTCAGAAGTAAGTAACGGACCCCCCATAACTTTCCATAGATCATGTGTAATGTTCTGAAATTTTCCGAGCATAAAGAACATTACAAATGCTGATCATGATATTGTATGTTCATAAACTTTCATGCCCCAAATACAATAATCGATCACTTTAGGACATAATATCTCGACGTCCAGAG